CTTTTTTGTATGTTTTATGTCTTTATAGGAGGAAGGAAGGCAGCACAATCTCTCTGTGTGAAGGCCCTCTAGAGGTCTTAGTCTGGCCCCGTAGCCACGACAAAAACCACAAAAAGACTGATGCTGAGAAGGGGAAAAGGTGTTTCCAAGCATCACATTTCCTTGCTCTGCGGATCACTGTGGGCCATAGGCTGCCTTGAATGCACAGTGTTTCTTATAGCTACTCATCCTCTTTATATAGCTCTTTTTCCAAGTATAGTTGGGTTTTCGATACATGGGGCTATAGTATTTCCATTTCAGTCATCAGTCAAGCTGCTTCCTCTCCAATCTTGACTACCATCTACTGAGCCCCAGGAAGGGTCTTTGCAAAGATATACATGATCAGGGTGATTGAGTGACTGAAAGGTTAGTGCTGGATATTTCCTGGCTTGGAAAGGAATATGTTAAATCGGATCTACCTCCGTTCCAACATAAATCCTTCATCCGTTCTCCCACTTGGAGATTTTTTGGTGGTAACAAGCTGTACTTTCAAAGGATTATCAGACTGACACTTCACAAAACACTTAAAAGATGAAATTTTGACTAGAGAGGACAAAGAGGGCGGGAGGCTGGTCTAGGATAGGTAGAACCCTAGTGGAGAGGGAAAGGAAGTGTCGAGAGAGGGGGTGGGAGGTATGCGAAGGCACACAGGCTTGGGAGGACAGTACAAGCAGGCTCCAGGAACTTACTGATTTTCCAATACCATGGAGAACCTGCAGCACATTGTCAAATAATCCTGAGTGTGATGCTGCTGCTCTCCTGTTTCAAGCTCCAAGGGGTCTTTATTGTCTTTGAATGAAGTATGAATTCCTCACCAGGCAGTTCATCTTAGAGCAAGTCCCCAACCATACTGAGCTGTGCTGGCTCTCAGGCCTGCAAGCCTTTGTACCTGCTCCTCTCTTTTCCTGGAAAGCACATTTTCTCCTCAAGTAAAATGGTCATGATTTAATTCAGAAGTCATTCTCCAGTCTTTTTAAACCAATTTGGGGTGGGGGAAGGAAGTTAAGAGAGCCTACAGCCCCCTGAAGACACTGCTAAAGTTCTCAGATCACTCGATTATTTGATTACCTGTCTGCCTCTCCCTGAAGATGGTGAGACATGATTTCCATGAGGGCAGGCATGGGGTTTTAGTTATGTTTGTATCTCTTAGTGCCTAGCACATAGTAGGTCTTCAACAGACACCTGCACAATGAAGCTATTACGGAACCAGTTCATAAACAGTTGAGACTGCTCAGTTGAGTGGATGGTTTTCTAGTCTCTCTTGCTTCCTTGTGTCCGTACCCATCCCACCTTCTATCTGTTTCTCTTTATAACTATCTATCTATTCTATCAACATAGAATTCCAAAGGCTTCTCCAACGTGATCAATCTTTGGAGGTTCAAAGAGTAAATGCTTTGGAGATACCATAGAGGAAAGGAAATCTTTTTGGTCATTTTTTTTTTTTTTTGCAGAAGGGCTCTTTCCAACCATACATGCCCCCTAAGATAAGAACCCAGATAAGAAGTACCACCTCTGTGAATAATGCTAATGACACCATTAGTATACTTCAAATAATACCATCTGCCCATGCCCTCTGCCCAAATCCCTAGATACTTCCAAGGTATTCTAATGGCTATAGCTCTTTCTGATTGTGTCTTTGTAGACTGGTGGTTCCTAAAGTGTAGTCCCTGGATCAGGGGTGTTGGAATCACCTGGAAACTTGTTAAAAATTCTCAGATTCCACCCCAGATCCACTGAATCAGAAATTCTGGTGGCAGGGCTCAGGAATCTATGTTTTAGCAAGCCCAAGTAATCATGATATGCACTAAAGTTTGAGAAATATCATTTTAGACTTTTAGCGAAACCATAGGTACGGCCTTATTATTTAAAGTACATATTCATGAAAGGGAGACAGAATATAGATTCATAAGGCTATCAGTCTTTCCAACTGGGAAGCACTGTCTAGGTGAAGTTTCTGCAGTAATGGAAATGTTCTACATCTGAGCCGTTGATATGGTAGCTACTAGCTACACATGGTTTGGGGCATTTGAAATATGGCTGTGGGACCGAGAAACTGAATTTTTAAATTTATTTAGTTTAAACCTAAGTTTAAATGTCCACACGTGCTCAGTGGCTACCATATTGAAAAGGGTGGTTCTCAAAGATAACTAAAAAATATAAAACCATATTGAAATCAGCTTCTAAAACCCCTGAAATAAAAATCTTTAAAATACAGTCTCTTAGATTTTGTCATCTGTAAAACAGAATTCACTGATTTGCTCATTCAGTTCATTCAAGTATTTACTATTTATCTCAAGTTTGCACTATTAAATTAATGTTTTGAAACTTTTTTTGAAGCAGTTTAAAACATTATGCAAAGTAGCAGTATTATTTCTGTATAATCTTGATAAGGCTTTAGGCATATGATTTGATCTGATTTGATCTGTGATAAGTTAGGATTCTGTGGACAGTAAGCCACATTGTTACCATGTGCCTTGCGATGCATCTTTAAGAGTCAAAAGGGATAGACTGTAACAGAAGTCAACCTCAAAAACTGCCAAGGAAATTTCTCTTTGTGAACATACAAATCTTTCAGACTGCTCTGTGCTATACCAGGCTCTGTTTTAGTAGATAGGGGATCTTATTTTCTAAGACAAATATGTACTGCAACCTCGTTAAGGGATAGGCTGCCCTTAGTGTTCATCATTAATGAGTTTGTATTCACGACTAAATTTGGACTACAGAAAGACTACACTAGGTATTTTTAAAAATTTTATTTTAAATATGACTTCGCAGTTTAGTCAAATCCAGACTGTCCCTGAACAAATAAATGCTCCTAAGAAAAGATCTGAATGAATATGCATTCCTAAGAGAGGACTTTTGCAAAGCTCTTTGTCTCTTTGGCTTTTTGGGCTACAACTCTAGCCTACATACACACAGGCCCTCTTCACAAGAAAGTTCCCTGGGAGTATGACAAGGGCCTCTCAGCAAGAACCTGGGACCCAGTGGTGACAACAGTGGTGACCAAGTTCTCTGTGGCCCAGGACTGGACTGCCCTGACCAGTCTCCTGTGATACCTGCTGCTAAGGCTGTAATACATGGCCCTGACCCCTGGCCCTATCTGGGACTTTGCTGACAGAAAAGGTCATTTTTAGTGCCTTGTTCCTTTGTGTCACACTTGAGGAAACTGAATAGGGTTTGGGCACTCCTCAGACATGCGAGTGTCCCCATCGGACTAGCAGGTGGCTCAGCGCAGGAATTCAAGTGCTGAAATGGGGCAGCATCCTTGAGGAAGGGGACTAGAGGATGCAGGGCCCAGGGAGTCCCTCTTTCATGGTCTCTACCTCGAATGTCAGGTTTGGAGGGGAGTGAGAGAGGACAAGACGGTCAGGTTAAGGGAAAGAGGGAATTTGGGTCAAGTCGGGACTGGGCTCCGGGCGGAACCAAGGGGAGGAATGTGGCTGGGAGTGGGAGGGTTCGCAGTGTGCGGGTGTGAATGTGAACTGTAAATGTCATCTACCCAGGGATGCCAAGCCCAGGCTTTCCATCCTCTGTTCCCTCACCTAAGACAGACCTCAGATATGGACCCCAGCACTCTTTCTACCAGGCCTGGAGGCCCCTCACAGCCTTCAAAACAACAGCTAGGGGATACAACTGCATCACTCAGAGTTTGCTAATAAAATCTCCCACGCTTTCGTGATCTGGACAAGTCCCCCCATTGGATGAAGAAGGGCTCCTGAATAATCACAGCAGCATTATCCATCATAAGCCGAGCCTCTTACTATGATCCAGTATATTACAAACAACAACCCATTTCATCCTCATGACAACTGTAGGAGGAGAGACCATCTCTAGTCCCATGTGGGAGATGAGGAGACTGGGGCAGACAGAGGCCAAGACTGGCTGCAAAGCGCACACATCTCACGAATGGTAGAGTTGGGTCCTAGGCCAGGTAGTTGGCCCCAGTGTTCCTGCTCTCCACTATTTTGCTGGTAATGCCTCCCACGTGGACAGGGCTCTGGGTTTATCACAGAGCAAATGAGCACATACGTTTTAGAACATTATATTTGTAGATTCATTAAAATCCAACATTTACAGGATATTAAAACCGTTCTAAGAGACAATCATGGTAAAGGTGTAATCGCATTTGTAAGTTTGCCAACTCAGAGTGTAAGAGCTTTTATGAAAAGTTTTAAAAATGTGGCTTACAGGGTAATGGTTTATGGTCAACTGCCTTTTGATCTTTCATGTGAAAAATATGTACTTACATATATTGCAGGAAACCTCACCACTTCCTTCCTAAGTGTTGGTCAAAAACACTAATTACTTGACTAATTAGACTGTGAAACTTCCCTTACAGATGGTAAAAATGAGCTATTTTCACCCCGCAAATTTAGTTGTGACATACCACCAAAAAATTGTAGAAATCTTTCAATGGTTTTATTGTAGGCAGCATGAACAATTTAAGCAAATCATATAAAATAAAATCAAAACTAATGAAAATGACCTGTTCTTTCATAAGAGGGGAACATAACCCAGTTCTACAGGACTCAAGAGCTAACCACGGAGGCCTGTCAGGGAAGTGAGCCCCCTTTGATAGGAGACTGGAAGCTAGGTCAAGATACTCGCTCCATAGCCTGGACTTGGTCAATGACTTGGTCAGTCCTATCTTGATTTGTGATTCTCATCATGGTTTCAAGTACTGTTGTCTATTCTATCTGTAGTCACAGGCTGAGGTAGCACTACTTCCTTTGTCTTCTCTCAGATACTCCCTACAAGTGTATGTCATGTGTATCTGTAGGCCAGTGTAGTACTGCTTTTAGCTTTGTGTCCACAGTACTTTGGATTGCCACATCAGCACATGTGCCAAAAGAATCAGCGTGGGATAAAATGAATCTTACCAAGTACTGCAGCTCTGAGAGGAAATGCCTCCTCTTGAGGAGCGCAAGCTCATGTGACACTCCACACCACAGGACACTCACCAGCATCAAGGCTGCCAGTGGCTGCTGTCCAGCCCATGACCGGTGGGATGGCCCCAACCACAGCTCCAACCCATGTGTTGGCAATGCTGATCCTCTTCAGTGGTGTGTAACAGCAGGTATACAGGAAGATGTTGAAGAGCCCCAGGGCTCCTGTGAGTGGATTCACGCCCCAGGTCAGGAGGGCCACTCCTGGAACAGCACAACATGTGGCAAAAGACACAGCTAGCAATGGGCTGGAAAAGAGCAGAGAACATAAAGTAATCATTCCTAGCTCAACTCCATCACACTGCCTAGACTCAGAGCTGCTAACGTGCACAATCTACTTATTCAGTGAGGTAGTTTCTTCCTTGTTATGGGGAATCCTCTTCACGAAACTTAAAATAAGGAAGGGTGTTTGCAAGGCTGCTCGCCTTGAGTTTGCCAGTTGAGAGTAAAGTTGTTAAGGGAGTTGAGGTCAGAGCACCCCAGATTTAAATATAGGCTCTGACCCTTCACTCTCCACATCTCTATGAGAGAGATTATCTCTTCCTCATAGGGTTGAAGTAAGGCCTGAGATGATGTCTCCTTTGGAGGATGCTCCATTTTAGGGTTGGTCATGAACAAACCACTTAAAACACAAATCTGTAAGATTTGAGCAGAAAATAGTACTTTAATTCTGGAAGCAGTTCTACCCCTTTTTTATGCTTTATTTTAAAACATCACTTAATTAGCAATAAGGAATAATAATGGTATGCCTCAGTGAGTGCTATAATTGCAATATCTGTAATAAATTACAGGCCCAGCATGGTACCAGTTCCCAATGAGAGTAAACACTGGGTGGCTGCTGCGCGGTGCCAGTGCTGTCACGGGGTTTGTGGACTCGGGATCTTTAAGAGGAGATGGCACAGTGTTATATGTGGAAATGAAATCTGTCAATTAAAACTCTACAGTGATAATGATGATTATAAACTTGTTTCTCAAGAAAGCCCACTTTTAAAAGTAGACTTTGTATGGAATCTTGTGAAAGACTTTTTGAGAGTCTAGATAAATTGGATCTACTAGTTCTTGCTTATATGCATGTTTATTTATTCTTTCTTAAGAAACCTAAGGAGGTTACTCAAGCCTGCTTTCTCCTTGCAGAAGTCATAATTCGACCTCTCAGTAAAGTATGTTTGTCTAGTGTCCAGTGATACCTCTCAATTACAGATTCCACATGTGCTTCTTGGGAAGCAAGAGTCACCAGCATGCAGCTTCTAGGGTGCTCTGGTTTTAGCAATGGCCAAGTCCCTGGGAGAGGCAATTTTTACCCTCCATGCACATATGTGAGATAATACCCTTCTACAGGGTTGCAGTGTTACCATGGCAGGACAGAAGCCCTGTGTCTATGAGACTGCTCCTCTAGGAAAAATACCAACTTGTAGGATTATGAGAAGTCAGAATTCAGCCAGGAGGAGGCTTGGAGGAGCAGGAGAGCTTAGTGGCTGAAAACGTAGTACCAAGTGAAACCAGGGCGACAGAATATAAAAAATGGAAATGACTTGATGGAGAATTCTGGTTCCCACTCTGCTATTGGGGTCAGCACTGTGACTCTTTCCTCTCAGGCCTGGGACCACTCAGAATGGGAGGCTTAATGGATAAAGAGCATATAATGTTGCCAGTCTAGGTGCTTGTGTCAGAAGAACCAAGAACAACAGCTGAGAGACATCTTACTTAGTACATGTTCTAACCTGAGGGTGACTATCCATCTGCTTTTGCCTGGGCCATCTCTTCTGAATCCCATGGTCAGTAACTTCCACAATACTCACACCCAAACCCTCAATTTTTCACTCTGCCTTATCCTTTTATCATTCTCACTCTGATGACACCCATTTCTGAATCTGCTCAATGATCTCTTGTCTCTGCTCCTGCTGGGGAAAGCCCTACAATCATACTAACTGGCCCTACTGCAAAAGGATGGTTTAACGGTGCTGGTGCCTGGCTGGAGTTGATTTCCATTCTCTTTCTTTATAATGACTGTTTTAACTCCTCTCCCACCTTCTCAAGGCTCCAGCTTCACTCTAGCTGCCAATATTACTCCTTAACAGACGTTCTTCTCTCTTACACAACAGTGACAAATGTCCTCAGATTTACTTTTTTGCCTTTCTCTCATTTCAGGAAAACAGGCTGTCTTCTTCATTTTTAAAGATCAACTCTCTACTTTTGCTCTTTTAAATCTCTTCCCTAATCTGTTCTTTTTCTCTCTGTCTCTACTGTCTATTGACCTCCTGTATCCTCATATAAATTACTTTATTCATATTTCCCCCAAGATAATACCCCTCGCTTCAACACTCTTCAAAGTCAAAATCCTTATGAAACAGACTACACACATAACTTGTCTCTATTTCCTCCATCCTCAGTTTCCTATTTGCTCCTCACCATTTATTGAAACAGATTTCTCAAGAGAGTAATATCATGTGACCTGGGACCACCTAGCTCCCAGTACAGCATACAATATAATTTTCCAGATGAAAGATTACAAGGATGTGTCAGTGTTGTTACATCTCCCATATGCCCAGAAAGGAGAATTTAGATAGCTAAAAAGCAGTACAAATATTATAACTGTTGTTTTTCTTTCAATAGGTAGTTTATAGCTTATAAAAATGATTTTTTCCCCCTATGAGACTCTAAAAAGCTAGTTTTATTTTGTGTAGAAGAAAAATGTGGCTGATAAACATTTTTATTTTTCCTGAATTGGCCCTTGTGTTAAAAAGAAGAAGGTTGTTCACTTTTTTCCCAAAGTCTGTGGAAGCCAGTTGGATTCAAAGGTATTAGTGTTATGAAAAGCCCTTTTAAGAAAGCACACATGAATTTAATTTATTGAGATAGGCAATTTTATGTGAAAGTTTAGTTTCTGACCCTTGTTGAAATCACAAAAAATCATGAGCCTCAATTTTGGTGTTTAAAGCAATATGTTCAAGGGCATAAAAGAAAATTTGGTAAGTTGACAAGCCATGCAAACAAAAATGTAGTTATTTACCCAAGATGTCATGGATATTCTCAGCACCTAGGTACCTGAAGGAAGCTATTCCCTCCTGGCACAAGGAGCCCTGAATCAGTGGGCTTCAGAAATTTCTTGTGTTATGTGCAAAAGTACTCCAGTTGCAAACTGTGTGAAGTTTACTTTCCTGTGATGTTTCATTTTCTCTAAAACATTTATTATAAAATTAATATATGCTCAATTCAGAAAATCTGCAACTGTAGAAAAATCATAAAGAATTTGAAATTAGTTATTCAGAAAAATATATTGGTTGATATTTTTCTAGCTTTTTTCCAATGATGAATCTAGTAAAAAAAATCACTGCAAACATACTAAATTGTGTTTTTCCCCTGCTTTATTTCAATATATCTTGATAATTCCACCATGCCAATAAGAATCTTTTTTATATCATCATCATTAATAGCTACATAGTGGACTATACTATGGATATACAACAATTAATTCTACCAACATGCCTGTTTATGGACGTTGAATAGTTTTCCATTTTTAAAAATAAGAAAGTATATTGGGATAAATACCTTATGGACAGACTTTTGTTCACAGATCTGATTAGAATAAATTCCGAGGATAAATTCCTAGCTGTGAAATTTCTAAACCAGATGATATGCACATTTTTAAAGAGATTTTGACAGGCACTAACAGGCTGTACTCCAGACAGTTTGTGCTAGGTTATACTCCCACCAGTAGTATACGAGAGTACCTATTTCTAGAATCTGTATCAACACTGGGTGTGGCATTAAAAACAAAGCAAAACAAAAACAAAAATTGCGAGTAGGCACTAGTGCAATACAACTTGCAGAGCCTCTTACTTCTTGCATCTGCTGAGGGCCTGGGGTGGCTAAAGTCTTTTTAGCCTGGTCATCATCAGCTGGGAGTAGCCTCCTGTGTGCTTAAAAGCTCCTTCAGTTTACCCCGTTGTACTTATAGTCTCATATTCTATTGCATTTCCTGAGATTAATACACTAAGTTTAAAAAACAAAGGACAGACCCAGGATATATTATGGTAAGACAGATGTGGTCCTGGACCTGTGAGTACTTACACTGTAGTGGTCAACAGTTCAATAGGCAAGAGCTACTGACAGGGAGACATAATGTAAAATGTGTGTTGGGGGAAGGACAGGGAATGTTTCCAGGAAGAAATGATGTTTAAACTGAGGCCTGATGGACGGGTGGGAGAAGGGCAGAAAAGGAAGAGGAACATTTCAGGCAGCGAGAACAGCATGTGAGAAGGCCGAAGGTGAGAAGCACAGCAAGTTTAAGTTCTACATACTGGAGAACAGAATGAGAGTGGGAGGTGTCAAGAGAGCAGAGAAGCACATGCAGACTCAACGACGTCTTCTCTGCTTTTTAGGCACGAAAATTAAGTGATCAGATCTGTTTTTTGGAAGGATCACTCTGCCTGCCATGTGAAGGTCAGCAAAGATAGACAAGCGTGCATTTATTTACCTCAAAAGAGAGGCTCACATTATGCATTCTTGAAGAAAAAGAGTCGTGAGTGCACCACCACATAAGTTTCACCAAATGCTCAAAGAAACAGCCTTCAGCTAGTTTGTATCTTTAATCTATCTTCCAAACTTCCTAATACACTGGTGGAGTAAATCAGATCAGTAGAGAGCAGGCCTGCCTCTCTCACTGAATGGCTCTTTGGTCTGATGACATGAGGGTGATCATGGTTTGCATTTTTAGCTCTATTATTCTTGGCTCTACTTTGTCCCTAGTCTTCTGTCACACTTCACATACCTTTGCAAGTTACCTGCAGTCTTGTTTAAAATAAGGCAGAAGAAAACAGTTAAAAAAACAATGGGGTAACTACAGGTCTTTGGTTAGAATCTTTGTATACGATGAAACATCGCTAAAAGAAGCAAAGGACTCTGAAACTGCAAGTAGGAAGAGGACAAAAAATAGTAACAGTTCTGGGATAAAGAGAAAATACATCAAATGGTATCTGGGTTATTAAGTTTGATTTACCATGAAATCTTTAAACACCATGTGATATTAAAGTTATTGAAGTTTAGCTGTCTTAATAAAGAGATCTATTTTTTGAGATAGAAAAAGGTAAAAAAGTGTTCATTTCTCATCTCAGTTAAACAACTCTGATTTTCTGCCTTGTGCTCAAAAATGTGATCAGAGCTAAATCTCAAAGGTCTGAAAGGCAATTCTGTTAAGAACTGATTTCTTGTCATTTTAGGTCAATTACCCTATATATGCTTTCTCCTA